AATTTAGAAAGTGTCTGACCCTAATATAAGAAACCTCATGGTAGCTCAAGTATGTTTTTAAAGGAAAAATCTAATAATTAAATAAAATGGGAAAAAAACATACATAAGTCATTTTAAAATATATACATTAACTGACACCAGAAAGCCATAAACATCCAAATGGTGTTATAGGCTATTAACTTAAAATCTCACAGGGTTCTTCAAGTAAATATTTTAGGTAGAACGGGTGCGACTGAAAAAAAGTTGGGAATGATGGAAACAGAATTTAAGTTTATTTGCAAGTTTTTCTGTTATGGCCAAAGGAATAAATTTATAATGCAGGTTATTGTTATAGTATATTAGGATCTTTGTATCCAGACTGTTAAAACAATCCCTGAAAATGAATAGCCTCAAATTAATGTAACCAATATTTTTCTAGCCTCACAGTGACCAATGTTGGCGGGATCCCTGAATTGTCACAATGAAAGCAGGGAATTCAAGATGTGCTTTCTCCCTGGGCTTCCTGGTGGGCAGCTGCACCTTGTACATCTTCTTGAGACAGGTGTGGTTTGAGAAGAGCTTCGGCTGGAAGCGGCATGGCAAGAGCAACCCTCCTCCACTGGGGCCTGAACAAAACACCCCCAACCTTACCTGGAGAGTGGAGGGATCTGCCCTGATCAACCTCAAACACCCTCACCAGCCAGGTGCTCAGCGCCCTCTAGTGCATCATTTATGTTACATACATTAATGAGTGTAACATGATATAAAGCACTGCAACATAATAGCTGGTGCAAAGCTTTCACTTTCTACTCATTTCATTGAGTTTTCAATGGAAGATCACAGTGATTTGTTAAATGTGCACCAAATAATTTTTAGCAGCGTAGCAGCAGCATTATGCAAAAACGAATGTTTTTAGTTAACGATGCCATTGTATTTGCAGTCAGCCATAAATAATATATTACGTGAGTGAAAGGGTCCGATAACATGGTTGTTACTGAGTTAAAGCGAGTGTTAGGATGAGTAGTGCTGTCAAACGATAAATGACGATTAATCGCATCCAAAATAAAGGTTTTTGTTTACATAATATATGTATGTGTACTGTGTTTGTTTATTATGTATATATAAATATACACACATTCAGTATATATTTTGAAAATATTTGCATGTATATACATTAATATATATTATTATGTTTTATATTATATATAAATATGTAATATATAAACATAATATTTTTCTTAAATATATACATGCATGTGTTTATATTTATATATACATAATAAATATACTCAGTACACACTCATATATTATTTAAACAAAAACCTTTATTTTGGATGCGATTAATCGCGATATATATATAGCCTACTAATAGGTTAGTGTACATAGATTGAAGTACACCTTCAAAATATGTTTTGATTGTATTAAACTTGCAATATAACTATAGAACTTGTTTTAAAAACACAGGAGAGGATGGTCACATTACAGATGAGCTGTTTAAGAAAGTGCGTATCCTGTGCTGGGTGATGACAGGGCCTAGTAACCTACAGTCAAAGGCTCGGCATGTGAAGTCAACGTGGAGTCGTCACTGTAACGTAGTGCTGTTCATGAGCTCTGAGGAAGACCGCAGCTTCCCCACAGTGGGTCTCGGCACAGGAGAAGGCCGTGACCAGCTGTACTGGAAGACTATTCGTGCCTTCCACTACGCTCTGAAGAACCACGGCGATGAGGCTGACTGGTTCCTCAAAACCGACGATGACACGTTCGTCGTTGTGGACAACTTGCGCTGGATCTTGTCGAACTACACGGCAGAGCAGCCCATATACTTTGGCAAGAGGTTCAAGCCGTACGCCAAGCAGGGCTACATGAGCGGAGGCGCAGGTTATGTGCTAAGCAAAGAGGCCCTGAGAAGGTTTGTGGAGGGTTTTAGCACTAAAGTGTGCACTCATACCTCCTCAGTGGAGGATCTAGCGATGGGTCAGTGTCTGGAGAAAATGGGGGTGGTAGCAGGTGACTCCAGGGACACACTGCACCGTGAAACCTTCCATCCTTTCATTCCTGAACACCATCTTACAGGAAAGTTCTCCAAAACCTTCTGGTACTGGAACTACTGCTTCTACCCAATTGTAGAAGTAAGTCATACACTTTTATTATATATATATATATATGTCTTTTATGATCACCAAGGCTGAAATTATTTGATCAAAAATACAGTTAAAACAATAATATTTTGAAATATTGTTACAATTCAGAATAACATTTTTTATTATTATTTATTACTGTATATTTTAAAATTCAGTGTCTTCAGTGTCACATGATCTTTCAGAAATCATTCTTATATGCTGATATGGTGCTTATGAAACATATTTTTGTGAAAATCGTAATAATTTTTTCAGAATTCTTTGATTAATATTTTGATTATTTGACGAACAGCAATTATTTAAAATAGAAACCTTGTGTAATATTATAAATGTCTTTACTGTCACATTTTAGCAATTTAATGTGTCCTTGATGACTTAAAATTTTAAACCCAAATTTTGGATGGCAGTGTAGGATAAAATATGCGCTCATTGTCATTTTTCTTAAGATATATTATATCCTTCATGTCCTTTGTGACATTTCTCTACATTCCACAGCTTCTGTCTCCTACACACAGGAAGCACGTTAGTTATTACTTTAGTAATGACAGAAGTTAAACTCAATTTTTGAAAAGTTTTAAGAACTTGACTACTATCTATGCCTGAGAGGAGAAAACCATTAAAGTGTCAAAAGTAATTTTCAATTCAGGCTCGTTTCATAGGTATGAATGAAAATCAACAACATTGTTTGAGAAATATACTTTGAGAACAAAATTACCTCTTAATTTTAGCCCTCTCATTTTTAAATGCCACACTGAACTAGAACCTCCTTCAGGTGATTGCAAGCGAAACCAACAATGGATAGGTTTGATGGGGACAGCATTTGTCAATAGTTTTTCTTTCATGTATGTGATGATGTGATTCGTGACTAGACAGCTAACATCTAGCAATACAAAACCCAAGAAATAAACACAACTTTGACTTGTTGTGGTTAACAAAGTGGCAATGAGAAGGATACAAATGCTATTTCAGTGTTGATAAAGTGTATAAAAACAAATATGATTAAGAATAGAATTGTCATTTCTTTCAGAAAAATTCCTTTTTACACATACAAATTAAGCTCAATTGAATAATATTAATGACAGAATGACAAAAATGTCTTAAATTTGCCTTTAAAAAAAAGCAGAAATCAATGTTACAGACAATAGAAGTAAATTTAAAAGTTAAAATTAGTAATACAAAGCTTATGTTTTAAAGCATTTAATTTATTCTTCTGTTAAAACTATTTTTAAGCTGTAAAGTTCTCTTTTTGGTCATTAGTAATTACATTGTAAACTTTAATATAAAAAAAATAGCAAGTGATTTTTTTCCCCACACTAAAATCATACTAACACACATTTATCCTATGGATGAATGAACTAACACACATATTTGTACTATGGATGCATTGTAATGTTTACAGATTGGCCACATTCACTTAAATTGAAAGTGCCACACTATAGCCCAGATTTTCCCTTTTTTTTTTAAAGAAAGAACAGATAAGTCCAAATGAATTTTCATGGTAATCAGCACTTTGACACAAGTATGTTGATTGACCTTAACTCGTAATGAACCCAGAATATTTATTTTAATGCAAACTATCTGCAATCACATGTAAATGTAACAGACCAGCATCTCTTATATTTGTCTTTTCCTACAGGGCCCACAGTGTTGCTCTGACCTAGCTGTGTCTTTCCACTATGTAGACCCTGTGCTAATGTACACTCTTGAGTACTACACTTACCGTCTCAGGCCCTATGGCTACCGACACCGCTACCAGCCTCCAGTGCCTGCTGTACTGTCTTTAGCTTCCCACACTGGGAAACCCACCACAGAAGCTCAGCGATTAGAGGAGCGTGTTAAAGAAAAATCAGTTCCAACATACACCATGAATCCCAGAGCTGAGAAAGTGAAGACTACTGGAACAACAAGTCACAAATGCTGCCCAGGGGAGAAACATAACCGACAGAAACACTGCATGATTGTGAATATGATTGTCTCTTCTTGTGTAAATCCAGAATGAACGCATGTAGCACTGACAGATATGTGAACTGTGAACTTGTGAAGCATTTTTAATCATCCAGACTGTGTACTGTGCAAATGGAGTGGTGAAGTGGTTACATATCTGGGCTAATTACCAAACGCTGTAAGTTCAAACTTGAACAAAGAACAAATGTTGTCATTATTGCTGTTGATCAAGTAACTTGACTGGTTGTGCCAGTTATAAATCAACTGTAAATCACTTCGAATAAGTGTTTGCTACTCAACGGATTGTTAATATGGTCCCTGCTATTTGAATAAATTATTTTGCTGCCCTCTAGTCTGAGTACAGTAAAAGTGTCTGATTCACATCATATATTATGGCTAAAGTACATGAAGGGCTTCAACAGTTTTGTATTTCAACAATGAGACAAAATGAAAAGCTGAGTTTCATATTGATGATTCTTTGGGGTTTCTTTAATATTTTTTTTACTTGGAAAGTTCAGATGGCCTTATTTTTGTTGGAATGTTGTCTATTATTGTTATATTACTAAACTGTTTCCTTAAAGACATACTGTGCTTTAACGATCTACTGATATCCAAAGCCCTAACACACAAAGTCAAACGTGAAGCGTTAGTCATTTAAGTATTAGTATTAGGGACATCATGTTTCTTCTAGTATGATTAAGTTGATATCAAGTTAAAATGCATATAAGTTTGACGTACATAATTATATATGCAGTTGGTCATGAAGCTGCTGTGTTTTGGCAAAAGTAGCAAATTATTGCTGTGTATTTTATGCTGTTTTAAACATTTATAAGTAATAAAACATAGTGAGATCCGATAGATATTTTTATTTACAAAAATCATGTTTTATACATTAGACAGCAAAAATAACTTTTAATAAATATATTGAAATACAGGGGATGTAAGTGAATATTTAAATGTGGCGATATGTAATCTAGGTTAATGTATAATTTGCAGTACAATGAAACAAATCACACCATAGGAAATCATGTTTATTTGATTCATCTTATATAAATATTTTCTCTTGCTCTATTACTTCTGTAAAATAAATTATGACTTTTTGTTGTTGCTCCAAAGAAATGTCTTGAAAAGAATCTGTCATGACGGGGTGGGATAGACGATTGGCTGGATAGGAAACAATTCATTTGCCTATAACCCACGACGAAACCTGCAACAAATTGTAAAAAAGAAAAAAGAAGTAATTATAATAAATACTTATATAAATAAGTATATATATTTACAAGAAAGCCATTCATTTTGTAACAATAGACAGACATGCTTTAGGAACAAATGCTGTGTTGTAATAGCTTCAGAAAGCCTGCAGATGGCAGAGCAGCTTTACTACTGAATTGCTCACCTCAGTTTGCATTTGTTGAAGAAGATGCCTCCGCTTGAGCCTGTTTCTGGGTAATCTTTCTTCCATGGGCGCCCAGTTTCTAACAAGACAAATACAGTAAGTCTGAGATGCGTGATAGACTGAACAATTTTCTGACAATGTTAGCGCTGATATTTGTTAAGTTTGCCATTTGTTTGAGGTTCAGCCCACACGGTTCAATTAAGACAGAGTCGTTGCAAATGTGTAGGCTACTTTTAACACACTGTCTCGTATGAATAACCAGTCAGACACTGGTTTAAGTTTCACGAACCTTAATTGCACATACTGTATGCTTCGTTTCGAGACGGACTTGACAAAGTAATAAAAACTTGCAGATTTTGATTCAGTTACCGCTTTAAGATTCAGCGAGTTTATTCATTAAATGATTCATCAGATTCAACTCGTGTGTCCCATTGATCAACTAGTTCAAGTAACATACTCATAAGAGTCATTTGTCCGTAAACCAATTGATACTGCTTTGGGTGTATATTTTGATTCACTAAAAAGAGCCGACTCATAAGAGTCATTTGGTTGTGAATTCAACTGCACTGGTCATGCTGCATGTTTTTGTTTCCCTAAAAAGAACCGGCTCATAAGAGTCATTTGTTTGAGAATCGAACTACTGCTCGCGCTTTAGGTTTGTTTATTCCGTGCACCCCGCGAGAACAACTCAGTAGAACGACGGGGTTTTTTTTATATTCAGACGTTTCGTATTAAATTCAGACTGTAAACCCACGAAAATATTTCGTGTAAGTGTAAAATGATATCAAGATAACGGTCATCAAAAGGTAACGTTATTTCTTTCACAAACATCACTGAATTGGAGAGAAAATGTGTTTACCAGGGTCAGCGCTCCGTCGCCCCATGAGTCCAACAAAGATATCGTGCATTTCCCCTAAAAGAAAGCATATATTAATTTGTCCTAGATCATTTTTAAACAGAGGATATCTGAAAGCACAAAAAGTACCCCAATGCCTTACTTTTACGCTGAGGTGGTATATCTTCTGTGTCTGGAAAAAAAAAGTAAGTTTCAGTTGAAAAAAATTAAGTAAATCCGATACAAAATTACAACAACAGCAAATATATCTGTTCACTCACCGGCGTTCCTGCGCCCCATTAATCCGACGAAACTGTCATAATCTATGTCATTATACCTCTTCAGCAAGTTATGAGCCGGCAGCCGAAAACTCGGACTCTCCTGTGCATGAAATGAAGTTTTTATTATACAGCTCAGGCAAACCTATATATTTATACCTTTTAGATGATCATAATCTGTCACTTACGCCTGAAACTGCTCTTTGAGACTCTGACTGCTGACAGCTCGACTCACTCCATCGGGTTTCCAGCACCAAAACCAAAAACAGTAACACTAGCCCACGGTACATCTTTACTGATAGGTCTGAGGAGAAAATGTCAAATACTAAAACAATTTACAACATTTCAAAGAGCCCGTTTGTTTACTACACTCAGTCACATTGTATCCATAAATGAACACAAAGTTTACCCTCTAAAATACTAATTGCAGTTATACTTGTTTGTTTTGTTTCTCTTACAGTGGTATTCAGTATAAATTACCACTAAACCATCAGGATAAAAAATTGATTGTTAAAAAAAAAGTATTGGACTCACCTGAGCTGAGGATAATGCTATGTGGTAACAGCTGAGTTACAGTTTGTGCTCGAGGACTTAAATCCTTTTGTGATGGACTCTCAGACAAGAGACACAGAGACAGGGATTCTCTCCTGTCTGATTGTTAAATGATAGCAACATGTGCGTAAGTCCAATCAGATGTCGCAGTGTAGGTGTGGTTTAAGGGTTTGTGGTCTGCATCAACAGTGACCGTGCAATTGAGATTCTGACATCAGAGGCGTCAGGCATTCCTTAAAAGGACAAACCATAGCCTCTTTTGTTAAACCCTTGTCATCAATTACTCACATTTGAATTCTTGCAACTTTAATCCCATATCTGTAACTTTGCCAGATTTTTTTTTTGTCCCTTCAAGGTTACAGAGTGCCTCCCGCATCTGTGGGTCAAACTTGGAACATTTGCGTGAGAGCATGTCTAAATGCCATGTTTGTTGACTCATTAAGATTATGCTGATATCTATTCGAATGCTACTTTTCTCTGCTAAGTAGGGCCTTATTGTCGTATTTTCCTCCTGACTGCCTAATTGGTGCTGTCATTGGCGGGAATGTAATCTCTCAAGGAAGCAATTACACAGATGGAGCGGTGGATGATGAGAACGGTGTCTCGCGGACTCTGTGGACATCTTGAGGGGGATCTAACTGGCCTGGCGACATGCAGGGTTGATTAGTGGGAACATCCATTAGTTGCTGCCCACACTCAGTATGCAGCATGCAAAGGGCAGCTGTGCTTTGAAGTTTCTGTTAGAGAACAGATTTGATCAGTTCATCAACAGAAGCCTATAAATAGCAACAGCCCAGGCAGTACTAACCCAAATCCACATCAACATAATAAAACCTGTGAGACTCAATCGTCAGCATCATTACATTTTTTTTCATTGTTGTGGACTTGATTATTTTTATCATCATTGTCTCTGACGTTATCTAAATAAAAACTTTAACATGCTGTCCTGTTGAGCGAAGAATGTGTTTACCAGGGCTGTGCACCATTTAACTCTAAATTGACTCAAAATGCCTTTTAAATTCCATTTGGTTGTATAGCAATTATATAATTTTAGCATTCATATAACACATTTTAAACTTAAAAAAGTAAAGTTTACATTTAAATTTTTTAAAATTACAATTCAGTGGATTTCTCTTCCTGTTACTCCAATTCCACCCTAGTAAAAAAGTATTATATTTAAAATAGGCTACATTTATTTCATACTAAGTAGTTCAAATCTATTAACATATTTACTGACCTATCGCTCAAGACTTACTGATATAATCAAACTTTAGTTGGAGTACTACTTGTGCACAATGCAAATTTCCTAATATTAAGACTAAAATGTGTTTTAATGTCACTATTGATGAGGATTGTATGATCTTTGAATATTATCGGTTTATAAATCCAAGATATTTAAAGTGTACATGAAGTATACTTACAATAGTTCCCAAATGTTTGAAAGAGACATTTCTATCAGTTTCCCAAACGGTGGGACCAGATTGTCATGCTGTAGAATAGGTAATTCCAGGATGACACACAAGTTTTTAATACTAGGAGAAGATCCTCCAACATGTTCTTTCTGCCAAACCCCTTTATCTCTGAAGCATGTTTTATTAGATTGTGCTGGTTTTTACCCTGTGAGAAAACTTTTTTGTTCAGTTAACTCCATTTTTAACAGAGTTAAGCCAGATACAGTTTTAGAGTTTTTAGTGAAAATAAAATTTAAAAACATAAAAAAATTATCGCCATGAAAATAGCCACAGAAGTTGGCATGGTGTTAAACACAAACAAACTTACAATAGTTCCACTTAAGCACAATCAAATATACTTCAGTTGTACTACTTTTGCACAATTAAAGTGCATTAAGTAAAACATTTGTTGTTCCAATTTAGCACACTTTAAGTGTACCAGTTTTGTATACCAATAGTACAATTGCTGGGTATTTTTATTATGTACATAAATATATAAATGTATTTACCTAGCATGAAATAAATGCATTTCAAATACATTTTAGAATATTTATTTTTCACTTTAGGGCAGTTGCTACTGAGAATTTAAAGAAAGTTTTACCCATTTTTCCTCAGGTTAAGGTGATTTACACAAGTAGAACATGTTTTCTATGTCACTGTAAAAATTTTACTTATCTCTTCCATAAGCACTTGACTGCATTCTGAAAGAAAAAAAAATCTCTGCTTTCACTATTTCTTAATTCGTTCCTGTTCTAGCTTGTATTTTATGGACTGTATTTAAAACTTAGTATTGCTAACACTTCTTGTGTTGTCTCCTTGAGATGAATGGCTTGTTGCATTCCTCATCTGGATAAAAACATCATCTAAATATTTAAATAACAGTTTTTTGTAAATAACAGTTTTTCCAAAAGTGTAGTGCTAAATTACTGGCCTGAGAATGTTAGCAGAAATGGTTATTACATTAAAGACTGAACTAATAATTTCGTACTTTGTCTTTAAACAATGTCCAAAGACCCTTGCTCTCTGCCACTTTACATTCTGTTGTAAATGAGACATGGAAATGCATAATATTTTTCTAGTGCTGATTGGGGAGAATAAATATCTGGAAGCAAATTACTGTGCAAATAGAGGGCATGTTATAAATGATAGTCAAGAGCAGCTGTTGATTGGGAACCCTACGGAGAAAGCAGGCATAAATATATAGGGAATAATGTTGTAAATACAAATAATAATGTTTACAGTCCAAATTTTTATATTCTGCATTTGTTAAAATCTGTGACGGCAATTTCTGTTTGTGTTTGCATAAGGCTTAAAAAGCATTTCGACAAACAATGGAGCCAGTACTTTACCCGCATGCCAATTATTTTTCACTGCAAGGGATATTAGCAAATATGCTGTGCCTCTACTATGCAAACCATGTGTGTTTCATAATGCTTTTGATGCAGATGTTTGGACTTCATCGCTGACTGTGTTGATCCACAGGAGACAGTCACTGCCAGTGTTCTATGCAGACCGAGCTATGACTTGCGGGGACATGTCGTCTACAACAAAGGGCAGGTCGGAGTTCCAAATGGCTGGTTTTCCCAAAGGTTAGCGGATTAGCATTAAGATGTTTTAGTAATGAGTCTCAACCCATATATGTCTCTTCCTGCTCTGCATGGATCACGCAGCGGGTCAGATTAAGGATATGGCGATGGATGGGAGACAGATCTGACAGCAGTAGGGGAAGAAAAAGTAATTAATTGCATTCTTCCATAATTAATGACTTCTTCTTTCCCTTAATCACAGAGCCACATCCTGGGAGTATCAATGAGAACACCATAGGGCTGTTTATTTGGAGCATGCTAGGGTGGAGGGCCCCTGCCACTGAGAGGATGACGACAGGAAGAGGATGCCAGAGTGGTAAATTCATGACAGTATTAGATATCGTTTAGCGCACTCAAAACGTGAGAGGAAGCTATGTATTGCTGCCTAGGAAGATTTTACTGCAATTATCTCATGTTGTCATCTAAAGTATATATTTACTAAAGGATGCGCATGAGAAATCAGGAATCGGTGCAACCAAAATCAGTCCTGATGTTCAGGTTTCTATTGATTTCCTATGAGATAGAACAGCTTTTTTTGCTTAATGTGAAATGGAGCGGTTACTTTATTTGTGGCAGCTGGTGTTTGGAAATCATCTTCTCTGTACCTGCTAATGTCATGAGCTCTTCACACTTTTTGTATGAGTTGTAGCATTTGGACCAATCAGACACACAACTTTTTGTTATATTTAACAAATAATATCGAACTCCCCATCACCTAACCAAATGGCCAATTACGAGGGTCTATGGACCCTTCCCCCGAAATGCACCTAACACCTCAGAAAAGCAGAACAGGCCTCTGGTTCCATGGTAACCAATGCTGATATCACTGGTTTTATGGCCTAAAAGGAATGCAGGGGATAAACTCCCTCATTTTCCTCATAAGAAAGGCACAAATGCACAGGAGAAACTGACTTTTCTACTAATTAATTCATAGGAAAACCTTCTTTGAATGAACACCCATTTTCTTCAGGCCATTGTGTATATTATTGCTGTGTTGTATTTAATCTGTTGTATTATAGACTATTGTTATTCATGCTTACGATAAACCACTCATTCATATAAGTAACTCTACCATGTCTAGTATCTATGAATTCGTCTTCGGATGATCTAACTGAGAGTGCATATTACATGCTGATACCTCTGCAACATATGGATGTTCTAAGAATCATTACTAATTTCTGCATCAACACCCAAGTGAATTACATATGCAAAATACCATGCTTACAGACAAAGACTCATAAAAATCCTCAGTATGTCCAACCTCCCGCTTGGGATTTCAGCCTTCCTCATTGGACGAACCCATCTTGAGAGGCGTGAATCTCTGCAGGCTTTAAAAGGCCACACTCCATGTGACCCGCCCCTGTTCGGTGGTTTGTGGCAGCTGGTGTTTGGAAATCATCTTCTCTGTACCTGCTAATGTCATGAGCTCTTCACACTTTTTGTATGAGTTGTTTGTTTTAATTCTTAGTAACGGCTCACAGTAAGCAACGTTTACACTATAAATCAGAGTTTATTCACTTTACTGCACATAGAAACATCTTTCTCAGGACCGTTTATGATTTTTAGAAAGTTCTGGTCTTCTCGTTTGGTGGGTTTTGGTTTTGTTTTTCTGTGCATGGAAAGGGAAGTAAATGAGATTTGACACATGATGGAATAGTGACTGACAAGTCAGATTACTGGTCTCAGCTATGCTCAGGAACAGCAGGGTGTTGGCAATGGCTCTCTGCAGACCGGGACAAACACAGCTTAAAAGATCTATAGCATGTTAAATGGAGACTGGAAGGGTGACTGATGACAAGCATTCACTATTGAGCAAATATGAAAAGTTATGGTTAGATTTACTCCAGAAAAGTATATTACACTGGGGATAAATCTATTCCATTTCAATTATACATGTGATAAAATCATTTAATTTTATGCTCTAGTTTAATGTGTATGACATATATGCTTGCTGATATGGCTACAAATTGCACAGCATGGCAAAATCTCAGCCTTTGTGTACTTGACACTTGAATACAAATGACCTTACTGGAGGTATTGGTATCTAGATCAGGGATTTTTAACCTGGAGTCCAGGGACCCAA